GAGCTGTTTTGTTTTTTTTTGACAAGTTTAGGGTACCACTCGGTAGAGCTGAGCAAGCTCTACTAAAAGACTACCAAAGATCCATTTAATTCGTAACCCAAGTAAAGTTTGGAGCCAAAAATCAAAATATTTCAGCTATTCTAAAAATCGGATCTCCTTTCAGAAAATTCCTAAGGACTTCAAACTTGGTTTTTATATAGTAGACACATAGTAGTACCCAAAAATGTATTTGACGGATTTTTTCCGGGGCTCAAAATTAAGAAACAAAGGCGGTCTCAAAATGCCAAAATGCCTTTTTCTTGGGTCTTCTATTTAAAACTTGGTATTTCTTATAAAAGCACATGCATGGGTGAAATTCTAAGTTAAACTTAGTAAGGCTTGTAGTATACAATGGCATAAGTGAGGAGCTAGAGGAGATTGCCATATTTAGACTGTCTTATTTTTCTCGCTTTCTATGCGCGGAAAAAATCCAGTAAAGGCATATTTGAGTATTAATATGTGTCTAATGGATAATGACCAAGTTGGGGATCCATAGGGTTTTTCTTCGCAAGAATCCAGTTTTCAGGTGACAAAATTTTTTCCGATTTTGGCTTCAAACTTTACATGGAAGGCGACTTAGGCGGACCGTTGAAATATTCAAAAAAGGAGTTTACTTTTAGGACAACCTAATAGGTATATAAGCGATATATAAACGGATATTTTTTTGTGAATTACAAACTTATAGATATCAAAAGTTCAAGTGGACCTTAGACATCAACTCGCTCAAACTCTCGTCACATCAATAGTTGAAAAGAGTGACGTGACTCTGGGGTTTTCTGGTGTCAGCAAGTGCTGAGTACTAACGATACAGCCTTCCCAAATCACCGGCCGCAAGGACAAATGAGCAGGTGTCGTCCAAATCACACAAAGCAGGAGATTTTTTTTTGAACTTTTAGTACCTCCAGCGCGACACTAATCTTACTGACCAGTGTGCATCGTGAACTTGCTGAACATTTTATTTTAACAGTTCTGTTTCCCTTTGTTAATTTATGGGCTGCAGGCTATAGATTACTGTATTCACTTCACACTTTAATTTCTCATCATCATCTGGTTTCTTCGCATATTTACCTTTGAAGCTAATGAGTTTTGCGAAGCTCAAGACGTGCACAACTTTTTGAACGGCATTGTTGTACAGGGATAAGATTACTTGAGACTAGAACCTAGCGATGTAAAGTTTGTTGTTTGACTATCGGCGACGTCTATGTACTTTGTAAAAACTTGTTGTATCCACTAATATCGGTCATTTTTGACAAACATTCAATAATTTTCCAATAATCAAAACAAACGCGAATTGATTCTTATAATTTCTAAATATTTCGGGTGATACTGACGGAAAAGCCTCAGTGAGGGCTGCTCGTCCTGATAAATTTCTCAAGTGCATTCACACTTTAGAGCATTTTCTTGTAGCAATTTTTATATTGACTATTCTGCACCTTTGGTGATATTGCGAAAATTTTAAAGGTCTTTGTCTTTGGTGAAAAAGACTTTATTCTATAGAAATCGTCATCTATGGCAAGTTATTCGAGACCTGGGCATTGAAAATTGAATTTTTACCTATTGATTCACTTCTTATCCTTCTTTATTCGATCTTGTTATCGCGCTTGATTTTATTTGTGTTTATGCACATTCAAAAAAAAACTCAGACTGGTAAAATCTCTCGCCTAGGACGGGTCAATGATCTTCGAAAAAGAAGATCTTTGTCGAAACAGGTGATAAAGAATCTACTGTAAAACCTGGTTGGCACAATATCATACATGATTCACAATAAGATGCTCACGTTCAAGGAAGAGGGCACCTAAAAGGCACCTCATTTTGAGCATGTCTTCGTGCACAAAATCGACCATACCCTGCAGAAAGCGTAACAATGAAACCTTGCGAGGCGGCACTCTACTCATTTCCGCTTTTCTCAGATTGATCCTGGCTGGACGGGTTTGTTTGGGAGGTGGAAGACAAAGAGCAAATGCAGCTCAGAGCGGATTCCTTCGGTGTCCGATGAGCTTTAATTGATTCTGGGCTGTCGGACGGGTGGATCACGAGCGAAATTCAGCCTCTAACAAGCATTCTTGACATGCCGCCGAGCAGCTCGGCTCTCGGCTCGAACATCTTCTACGCGCAGAAAATTCTCCGTTTCATTGTCAGTCCCCGACCAATTTTCTGCACTTGCGCTCTCCCCCCCCCCCCCCCACCCTCTGCTTTTCGCCAAAACTAGCATGCTGTCATTGCAGTAATTGACTTGTGTCTTCATCATTCTCGTTACCCACGAGGACAATTGCTTCATCTGTTTGCACTTTTAGAATAATGCTGGTGTTAATACTGAGACACTCATTATGATCAAAGTACTTCTACGTGTCCTCTGAATTCTGATAAACGATTATTAATTGAATTTTGTAAAAGAATCTTTATTTCAGTTAACGTTCTATTGATATTAGTTTATAACCAATTAGTAATTCAAATCGTCAATCAATATTTTATCGGGATGTTGAGAATGGAAGTTGCCTTTGATACTACTTATTCTACTAAATGCGCTTGACATCTATCTGCTGCTAAATGATTCCCGTTTGGAGTATTTTCCATAGCATCAGCCTATTGACACGTGGAACTCCTTTACTTCGGCAATCATGCAATAATTAATGATAGACGATTTTAGTCTCGTAAATACATTCTGAATGAAGTCATGGAAATGGAATTAGGCTTACTTTTTCTTAACATTTCTTCACAAAGCTCACTAGTTCTGTTTACAGTTGAGTTCACACGGAATACCGTTTAGGCAATTTTTTAGCTAAAAGAATGAGGACCTACTGTCAACGCCGCGAACAGTTTATCCTTTCTTAACCTCTTGCAAGAATTTCTAGATTATAAGCTCAGAATCACAATATAGTGGGAGTCGCAAATAATTTCACTAAATCCGTCACTCACTTAATGTCAATTCTATGACAGCAATGTCTTCCGATTCTGATCGCAGCAACTTTGTAGTGGTAAATAAGCAACCCATTTCTGAGCTGCAGACTTGTGCTTTGTTGTTGATGGCGTGCCATCTGCGAATTTTAATTTTTTTCCTCACTATCTTCGACAACATCTGTACAAACGACTTTGCGAACAAATACGAAAACAAGTCTAGCTTTTGAACAGCATGATCTTCAATTCTACGGCTTTCAATTGCATATAGGGTCCAATAAAAACTATAGGGAAGTAATCTCATCAAGTCATTTCGATGTTGAGTATTATAAGACATTTTGTATATGATAATCTCTGCTGTTTAATCTGAAGTATTAAGCGTAATCTTCAAAACTTAATGTGAGCAAACTTCCTATTTCGCATAAGTTTTAATATCTAAATGTATACCCAAAAATGTTGATTAGTGACGCTGTAAGATCGAAAAGAATCTAATCATAATGAGAAATCAGCATTTTTTAGGCAAACTATAGTATCCGAAGAATACATCTTATGAAAGCACAATCTAGAAGCTCGCAAGAAGTGCAATTTTCAGGTATGCAGGCAATATTTCAAATGGTTTACCTGGATAAAGTCAGCTGTTGAGGACAATGATATAAAACATGTCCAATGAAAACACGCACTCTAGTCTGTTGCTTTGTTGTGAAATTAATTAAGTCCTCGCATTTACCGTTCATCGCTGACGCAACTTCAAGATTTTTTGACGTTGTGCTTATATAAAAGACTTGGGTAATCAACTAAACAAATGTCCTAATATTATGCTAGAAACTGCAAGTAATGAATCAAAGCTGTTGCAATTTTTATATTTCTAAAGCATCTATTTCATGACACAATGAGCTTCAATCTCATCTTTGGGAACCAAATAGTTTACTGACAATACCGTTAAAATGATTTGGGTTTTGTCACAAATAAAGCTTTTTGTTCAAATCTTGACAGACTGGAGCCATAAAAAGATTTAATATTGGCACATTCGTAGAACGACCACTTACTTTATGGAAGAAGTTTGTGCACGGGTACTAGAAAATTGCTTTGAATCTTAAATTACTATGTTGAGGACAATGATAGCTGTTACCTTCGGTAGATTTTTCCTATAGTGCTGTGATTCAATTGTGATTCAATTTCATTGAGGAAAAGATTCAGGCCTTAGCATATTGCTCACAGCTGTTTTGTTTTCGGACAGTCACCAACGTTTTGTAAAGATTTGTATAAGTAAAGTCAACATTCATAGAAATTGGAATTGGTTACTACAAAAGGCTAGGTAAAGGCTGCTGCACGGCGAAGGCGCAATGGCGATATTGGTTGAGCGTGCGCGAACGCGACGCGCGCGTATCCTCACCGTTGTAGATCCCGCACCTCATGCGCTCTGCGGCTAATAGAGCCGCGTTCGCGCTCGAAGATATGCGCCTTCGTCATGCAGCAGCCTATATGTGTTCAATGTGGAGGCATTTTATGATAGGGTATTATCTTGCAAGGTAACCATGTTTAGTCAAATTAGCGTATTTAGATGGAATGTATACTATTTGAGGAACGTTTGTGAACGAGGAGTTATAAGCTATTATTAGAGCAAAAAATTATTGTGAATTTATAGTAAAAAGAACAACTGCTAAAATTTTCCTGGCCCTTAAATAAAGCAACCAAGTATGATATATTTTTATCTGAGAGTGTTCATTGAATAATGAATTTGATAATTATCACTGCTATATTGAAGCACTAGAGAAAATATCACGACAATTTTTGTACTATTTGCACATCTAATTTTTGATCTAATTGAAGCTCATAACTCCGCTCCATAAACGTTCCGCACACAAGGAAGTAAGATTTAACAGCGTTTTATACTCTCTGATACTGATATAATCCCATTCAATAAGGCAACTTCGGCTAAACATGGTTCCCTTGTTAGCTTCCTAGAAATGTAGAGTGCAATACGATCATCGTTTTTGAGTTCAACTGTCACTTGTCCTTATATCTTAGTGGTTCCCATTGGCCTCTTGGGACACTATAACATTCATATGGAAGCACTTCAGTACGTCTGGCGTGTCATTTATGATTTATTGGATCTGGGGTCTCTGGTTAGTGAAATTATCACTTTTCAATGATAGAATTGGTCTAAACGCTGCCACAGTGTCGTCAATAACAATTCCATGACCTCTCTCTTCAAACTTCTCGCTAGTTGAAGCCGTTACATATGCATCTGTAACATGCACTTACTCGCCATAATTTCATTGCGACTGAAAATGAACTTCATAAACTGAAGGCTTAAAAAAAAGCCCAGTATAGCATTTGCAATACTTCTGTTAATTCCACATGTCAGGTCACTTCAAGATAAATTCCGTGCCTTCGCTTGACTTTGATCAATTCTAGGTGTAGCTTTGCCGTGGAAGTCATGATCGCCCAATATCTAAAAGTTGCAATTTTCGGTCTTCTCGCAGTGGAATATGTCATGCTCACTTCAAGCAGCCATTTGTGTCTTTCACTGAGCCACAATCACAGATCCGAGTAATGCAAAATTTGGGGTATTCAGCGAGCTCACTCAAGCAAGTGCAGTTCAAATTTGAAACACAACAAAGAGAGCGCATTATCCTTTCGTATACCTAATATGAAAAGCATCCAGATTTTTTCACTCTGAAAAAAAATCATGACACGACGAGAAAATCTCAGAAGATACAGACATTCGTGATTTCAACTTTGGTGTAACTTCACCAGTTTCCATTTTTGACCGATTGGTTCATTACTCCTCCACCAAATGAGGTGCGCAGCTTTTGGTCGCCTCCGCAATTATTTCTCGTCTACTCATTCTGATTGGACTAATTCAACTTCGAATGGCTATGGACAGATCGGATGGGACTTTGCTGCATTCGTTGGCTCATCTGTTCTGCGCATGAATGACTTGCAAGTTGCGATGTGCTAGTGGCAAATAATTTCTCAGCTTGTTGTCCAAACGGCGATGCCAACAGAACCGGAAACAATTTCGTTCGACAGCTGAGCGTTGGATCATATCCCCTCGTGAACTTGCGTACTCTATTCGACATTTTTGGCAAATATGAGCAGTGAGAGTTTGTAAATTTTTAGATTTTTCGGAAGTTCTCAGTAACGTAAGGTTTAGTGTAATAACAGCACGTCGTGTTACCTGATATCGGTAGCTCCAAAGAACAATTTTCTTGTGAAAATTGATATTTTCGTATTACATGTCTGTTTGTCCTGTAGACTCTGCAGCTCAGGCCGAGCCTTCAGCATCACCTGTATTGTTTCAAAGTCAGCCGTCTCAAAACGATATCATTTTTTCCCATTGAGCTCATTCAACATGAAAATGAATAGGATGTAGATAGCTAATGACATTTCTTTTTTGTAAACGTTTTGAGAAGGTAGAATCTATTGCTTTGTAGAAAAATATCATAGAATCATCTCTACGCCTCTAGCTCAATTCTAAATCATTCAGTTTATATTCGAAAAATTAGCGGAGAACAATAAGCTCTTACAAGTTTGATACATGATGAGATGCAGAGAAAAATTTATGTGGTGAATCTACCAAAAATCCGAAAAGTGCTACAGCTTGCAACACTGAATACTTTTAGAACACATCGACTTAAAATCATCTATCTGGAGACGAAATCAGTTCTTTCCTAATGGGCTGGCAGAAAAATAGGAAAGGTGGTACGAAGGTTTCTCTTGTCATTTACTGAATGTGTAATATCTCCACCCTGCGAAGAAAAATGCTACGATTACAATTCCATGGATAAAAAGCAAACATTCTTACAATTTAGTTGCAGCTCTTATGTAGGTTATGAGCCCCAAGTTTGCTTATAAGCTTGCTTAAAACCAGCGATTGTTCACCACACACTACATACACTTCGAGAAATTCTTGTTTTCTTACACTCAATACGGTGTTCAAACCACATTACTTTATTTTTCCCTGTACTGTTAGGTAATTCACAAGATCGAATGACTTCCCAGCTATTTAGTACCTTGTAAGGCGCTTTCAGTGCTTATTTTGTTGATGAATTGAGATGTTCTGTCAGTTTGCCAGCCACGTCCAAAAAATCGCATCTGTATTCGTTCATCTGTATAGCCTAGTAATTAAATCAACTTGACCTACCCAAATCATTGAATATTCTCTTCAAGCACTTCCTAGCAGTATGTGAGTACCACGTTGCACTGTTCGCCGCTATTTACGAGTGCACTTTAAAGGAGGTGCTTAATGTGAGAAAGCAGCGCTTCAATGGCTTTGTAGTTCTTGATTACTGAAACCAAATTATAATTCTGTTTTGCATAAATAGCTCGTCCTTCCTGCGATCTAACATTAATGGACTGAAGCCCTAGTATCTTCTTATCTTACGCTACTTTAAACTTCAGCATCAACCTTCTTAGTAACGCTGGATGTCAGATGAGATAGGATTCGGCCATACTACTCTTTTGATTCCCTTATTTCTGGAGCTCCTGTAATTTTCGATCCTCTTATCCATGGAACGCGACAACTCACACATTTCTACATCAATGATCACTACGGCGTGATAATGCGCATCTTATTACCAGTTGTATCCAACAAGGCATTTACGCTGAGAGAACAAAACGAGGAAATAGTGGTTAGTAGTCATTCATCATTGGAGCTCTGCTCTGTGAAGTTAGTCTCCGCACTTCTTAAACGGCTACCTTGGAAGGAATTATGAGAGTCACAGAGTTGCCAAAACAGTACGGCTGAGCCTTAGCGAGCCCGTACTAAATTAATTTATATTTACAGAAGACTTTATAAAAGAATGACAACTTCACCCTTCAGGGCTCTCTTCAAACTAGGTCTAATGTACGCACTTTAGCGAAAATGTGCTGGCAGCTGCACAGATTCATCAGCTCCTTACACTGCAATTATTTACCTACTCTACTGCAATAAGTGCTAGTAAACGAATACATTGCACTATTGCATCTTGATTAGTAGTAATCTGTGATGACTGTTGTACGGAGAGTAGAATTTTTATATTTTACTTATCGCCCAGCATTCGCCAGCTATATCCAATTTGCCGCTAAGTGTGGCCACTTATATTGAATGTAATGTCCTCTTGCTTCTCTCCAGTTTATACGAGGATATCTTTCACTTATCATCCGAATAGACCAGATTGGTCCGCGAGCTTACACGAGGATTTATATGGTTCCGTCTTGAAAATGTTCAAAAGCATCATATGTACAGGGTGTCCCAAAAAATGTGCACACCGTCTGATCGTTAATAACTTCCTTGCATTGATGTCTTTCGCCGACCTTTAGGTACCATCTTGTAGAGCTAGGCTCAACTTAGATTTGCAGTTTGAAGCGAATCATCGATCGCTCCCCATTACTGTAGGATTACTGTAGCAAATTCGACAAGGATTTCAGGCCATAGGGGGCCATATTCTGCCTCGGAACAAAACCAAACAAGACAAAAACTCTAAACTATGAAAGCCGCTGATTTTGAATATAAAATCCCACTTTACTGTGTTGCGTCTTTCCTAAGTTATACCGGGTAAACCGTAATAACTAAATGTCCACCATTTCAGAAACGTGATTTCTCCGTCAAAAAAAGCTAAAAAAAACTCGTAAAAAGTTGTTAGGTGGAATCAGCGTGCACGAAAACCCTAGTACACGATTTTTAAGATTTTTTGAAAAATTTTGTTAGGTGGTATTTTCACACTGGTTCCATATGCTGGAATTTCTTTCCTTAATCCTCAGTAATGAAGAGTGATTGGTGACTTGCTTCACACTGTAAATTTAAGCTGAACTCCGCTCTACAGAATGGTACCTCAAGGCCGGAGAAAGACTTCAAAGCAAGAAAGTTATTAACGATCACACAGTGTGCACATTTTTTGGGACAACCTATATAAGATAGCAGATGATTGTCGCCTTTTCTGCTACATTAATTGAGTTAAACGAAATCAAGATTTGTTAAAACACTTCGGCACACTCCTGAACCAGCCTAGCAGAAGCAAAGCTCTCTTAAGCTCGGAATTTTCTCAATATCACCGTTCGTCTTTTCGAACAAAGCGGCAAACGATCTCCACTATTTGCAGAAGCTGATGCAAGAGGTCTTTTTTACATTCATTAACCCATCGGACAACTTCTGACATCGGTTCAAGAAAAGCTAAAAAGTCGACGCTAACAATAGGCGTTAATTCAATACCACTAGCAAGTGAGTGAATTTGGAAGTTTGAAACTCAAAGATAGCAAAGAAAACATTATGGTTTTCTCAATTCAAAAGCAGTCTTGTAGATTTAGTAGGTTCAGAGGTTGACGTAGTGCTTCTGCGGTGAGAACAACACTTGCGCGTAAAGATGGTCATAGAGCGTTCAACTTGATATTCTTTCCGTGCAAGTGTTTTCGCTGCCGCAAGGCACTATATCATCGGCTCAATTTGCTAAGCTATTTTAATAAACCTATTACTTTCAGGCCGCCAAACTAGTAACTGTGGGGCGACAATACTTCACAAATTCTATGTCCTGTGTGTTGACGCAGCGCTCGCACAGTTCGACGTACGATCCAAGCCATACTGATTATTCATGTTGTTTTCATCAGATAAATGCCAGTGTAAGTACGCTGATGTTTCTGATGCTCTAATTCAATAATATGTAACAATTTCAGACAGGATCGTATGTCATCGCTATCGTGCACATTTTTGTGTCCTCGGCTGCACTTTCGTGGGTTGTGAGGACCTTGGAAGCAGGCGAGAGGTCCCGGACGGAAGCCAGCTTCGAATTAGCTCTGGTGTCTCTTGAACTGCTGGCATCGCTAGCGCTTTTTGTTGGCTTGAAATGTGAGAGCCAGCGTGTGATCACCGGATATATCACTGCCCAAGTTCGTGACTTTCTTATAATAACACCGTAACACCGATTTGATTGTAATTCATAATGTGCGATTGCGGACAGCATGTCAATTTGCGTGAAATCCGAATACTGCCTAAAAGGGGAATCTTTTCAGAATAGGTGCTTTTTGCATTTTATTTTCAATTTTCGTTATATTATCGTTTGTCTGTTTCCGAGAAACACATTCGTAAGGCGCAAACATGGCAGATGAGATCAGGATTTTACGCATGTTGTGCGTGTTGTATGCAGTGGCACAAATTAATCCGGAAATGATATGACATACATAATTTAACTCCCTGAGATTTTGTGCGAATTCCTTTGATTTAGGTAGGTGTCATAAGCCTTCTCTTTATTCTTTTCCTGGCCTTGATAATGGGCTTCAAAACAGGGATTTTGGATGATCCTGACCATAACGGCTACAAAACACTCGGTTTGTTAGGTGACTTTTATTTTTTAAAAGTAAATAATATTTTTCAGAAGAGGAGATGTTGATTGTCGTTGAAATACTCTCTTCTCTTGCTGTCGTTGGTCTGGAAGTTTGGTTTTTGACTGTGGTTTTAAAATCTTATCGACAAATTATTCATAAGAGGCATTATATGGGTGTTGAAAGAGAAGAACATTTGTAACGTTTATGCAATAAAATTTTCTTGGAAAAGCTTTGAAAGTAACCAACAAATATGAATTGTTTAATTTTCACCATGTTTAACGCTTTTTCTCGGTTTCTGCCAATTCAAACTAAAGTGTTTTTCGCTTCGTCAAATTTATGACACACCGGGGGGTCGTGTTGTTCAAAATAATACTGCTTTTGGAAAGATCTCAAATAATGCATTCCGAAGTTCCCATTCGGAAGTTATTGGAGACTAACTGCAGTATGGCGTACTTTTAGATCTTAAAGTAGATTTCTGACTATAGAGGAAGCGAAATTGCGGTACATATTATGTAGAAAACTTTATTCTATAGTTGCAGTTGTTTGTGGATTACAATATACTTGGCTGTTAAGATTATGAGTTGATGAGAATCTGCATGACTGATGTCAGGCTATCATTTCTGGTGTAAAAGCGGAGGTTATATTAAATGCTAATTTACAATTGATAGAGCTATTAGGTTGATGCAAAAATAATGGCCGTAGGCTATGGGTTCTTAAAGCTGAGACTGACCTTTCTCAAGAATCAGTGAAGATATCAGGCTGAAATTTCGCGATCATGCTTCGGAGGCTTTGTGGTACGCAATGACTGAATTGGAGGAAAGGGGCGGAGTTAGAGGTGAAGTTGGCCGATTTTTGATTTTCGTCCCTTTCTCAAATTCTAAGTGAACAAAATTTAAGCAAGTGCATGAACGTTATTATGTGTCTACTACGTGATGACCAACTGGGAGACTTTTAGGATTCCTCCGGGCAAAGATCCGATTTTCGATGGCCAAATACTCACAGATTTGGCACAAAACTTTACGTAGACCAAATATTAGGTTGTCCCGAAAGTTTTGTCGGTTTCTTTCATCGATCACCGAAACTCACAGAACACCAATCCATGGGCAAGCTGAGCACCATTTGATTCAGATTTTTATCCTCTTTCATACAGCTATATTTTCTCTCTGATCTACCCTGTCTTTGCAATGTTATCGCCATGGCTTTTTGAGCAGCTCAACAGTGACGCCAAATCTTCCCTGAATTTTAAAATTTTTTATCCTGACGTTTTCAAAGAGCGCTGGTAACTATTATGTAGAGCACATCCTTGGCTACATTTTATTCATTTAAGACTGCATGGACCACGTTTACCAAGTCCGTTATAATTAATAATTTAATAAAACCGCAAATTTTTGATTACGTTTACCACGTAAAAATACCGAAATTTCCAAAAAGCTGCTTTTTCAAGGTAAATCAAACTTGGTCATGTTGCGTAAATAATGTTTAATAAGAATCATTTTTCAATTCGCAGAAACTTTGAAAACTTCCGTGTATTCTGCAGTTGCGTGTTTCATGACTTTGCCAAAAATCGAGACCTCTTAAGAATAATTATTTTCAAGCTAAAAACAGCAGATTGGGAGAATCTAAAAGTATCACCTTGTAGTCCGAGAGTTGCTCTATTAGAATCGTACCTAACCAATTTAGAAACTTTAGAAAGAAATTTTTAAAAATTAGCCGAACTATGAGCAGATAAAATTGGCGGATGGAGAATTCTAACAAATATCGAGAAAAGCATACAAGATTGTGGATCGCGAATGTATCCATGAGAAAGAGAAGAAAAAGCTGCATCGAATGCATGTTGAAACTCAGTTGTTTATTGTGCGTGGTTTTACAGTGGTTTGAAAAAACCGACAAAACTTTCGGGACAACCTAATATTTAATGACATTTTCAGAAATGCTTCTGTTTCACTGTTTCAGTGTTTTCATTCTGTAACTACAAACTTCCACGGGTTCAACAGCAAGGTCTGTATGTCGGCTTAGATCTGGTCCGCATCATTTTTTAGAACTTCGCGAAGTATTTTCACGATTTTGTTTTTGAAAGAGGAAATCATGCGCTTTACGATAGCAATGAAGGGCTTTCTAATACCCAAACTCTGCGGAGATAGAAGCTGTAGAAGAATTAATTTTGTATTCGAATTTATATTTTGATTCTTCTGCGTAGGATTGCCAAAAATCTGAAACGTGGAGCAAAAAGCGGTACAGTATCAGAGATCTTATGACCTTCTCTTTTTTGTGAGCAAATATTGTGTAGATCGAAATTTTTTGAGGAATTATGATTTTTGAGCAAGCAGTATAAAACGGCAAATTTGATTTTTTTTTTGGCATTTTTCTCGAAAATTACAATTTTTGATAGGAACCAAGTTTTAAATTTTTGGCACTCAACAGAAAAATCAAATTTGTGTAATTTTTCTCTGCAGTTTCTATCTCTGCATCTACATGTTGGAAAGTCTTTTAAATGCTATCGTAAAGGGCATGATTTCTTCCTTCAAATGAAACTAAATGTGCAAATATCACGAAATTTAAAAGGTTGTGAATATTTTGAAATGATGCGAATGAACTTTTATGCTAACCTAATGAATTATGCTTTTAAAGGAAGGTCCAAGGCCATTTTTGCTCTTGTTTTTGAAGACCCGATAGTGTTTCCATAGGCCCAGTTGCCACCCCTGTTGACGTGGCTGATATCACGCTGCATATTTCAGCTTTTTCGTATATTTTATAAAATATTCTATAATTCGGTAAAGGAACCGAATATTATTCGATTATTCGTATTTAAATGATTTGTTCGAACTAGAATAGTCGAATATCTAGGAAAATGCATCTAATTGATTCATCAAATACTCGAATGAATGAAAAAAAAACCTTTATTCGATTATTTGTTTATTCAACTTGAAAAAATAGTATTGGAATATCGAATATCCTACACTCAACATTCGATATTCGAATAAGTTATTTTTTCACTTCGTCGAATAAACAAATATTCGAATAAAAATCATTGGAATACGCATAGAATATTATTCGGTTACAACTATGGTACACAGAAGCGACGGCGGTTCTCAAGCTTATCGTAATCGTGACGGACATGGTGAACGATACCTGCACCCTGGATTCTCATCCCTTAGAAAGAATTTCAACTCGGTTGGTCAAAAATGTCCGGATCAGTTAATGTGATATGCGTCTGAGCCCTTACACAGAGATCGCATTAATACAAAAATCCAAATGGATCTCAGCTTGTTCCTTTCTAGAATATACTTACCGTAACTTTAGTAGGCAGTATTCATGGCTTATCTCTTGCTATAATGTTTTCGACAATCTTTTTACCTAGTGGAGCTGGCTGCAGCCTATATTTATAGCATAAAGCTAATCATTGCTTTACTGTAGAATTATGGCAGAAAGTAGCTGCATAGCTGCATTGTGAACCAGCAGCCATCCTACCATAATCCAATAAGTTCTGAAAAGTTAGGTAACAATTGCATGCCGAACTTGTAAAGCTTTTTGAAACGTAATCCGTTTTCGAGGAACATTGAGGTTGGGTAAACCCGCCACAGCTTTTAAACGAAGCATTAAGGTAAAGTGTGAGTTTTCATATTCAGAATCAGCTACCCTGCTTAGCCTCCTGTAAGAGTAGATGTTTCGATTACTTTCTATGGAAATATTATCCTCAATGGTTTGAAACCCTCTGCAAATTTTATAATACATGCCGCAAAATTCAAGGTAAAACCAGCTCTAGAGAATGCTATGATTCGACAAAAGAGAGTGTGATATCACGTCCAGCATTCACTAGATTTTTATGGACCCTTTATACAAATAAGCCCCTAACTCGGGTGGAAAAGACGGCTTGCGACGTATTAATCTTGATAAAACCGTCGGGAATCCATAACTTTGTTCAAAATGATTTTCTCATGAACCGATTTTGGTATTTGGGAATGAAATTTTGTAGGGACGCGAAAAACCCTGAAAATATTAGGTTGTTGCAAAAGTTCTGTCGTTTCATTTTCAAAAATTTGTAACTCCGCGAAATTTCAACGGATTTGCTTGCTTGTAATTTTATTAGAAAGAATAAGTCTTTCGCTTTCAAATGCTGTTCCGTGGAGCTTCTGTTTCATACTGCGTGCGGAGATAAAAATGGAAAACTAAGACCATATAAGCTTTGACCATTTTAAGTTAGATCACCAAAAATCCGGAATGCTGCAGAAAAATCTGAAATCCGCAGTACTTATGTTTTTCGGCCTACCCTTTGCATCTGTGAAGAGTTTGTGCTGTTTGGACGTCTCTGTGAGAAGTTATGATTTTCGCGAAAATTGACAAATTAATTAATTTTGGCGTTTTCCATAGTAAATTCGATATTCATAACTTCTCACAGAGACGTCCAAACAGCACAAACTCTTCGCAGATGCAAAGGGTAGGCCGAAAAACATATGTACTGCGGATTTCAGATTTTTCTGCAGCATTCCGGATTTTTGGTGATCTAACTTAAAATGGTCAAAGCTTATATGGTCTTAGTTTTCCATTTTTATCTCCGCACGCAGTATGAAACAGAAGCTCCACGGAACAGCATTTGAAAGCGAAAGACTTATTCTTTCTAATAAAATTACAAGCAAGCAAATCCGTTGAAATTTCGCGGAGTTACAAATTTTTGAAAATGAAACGACAGAACTTTTGCAACAACCTAATACTTTCGTGGCAAGGATTTTTATTGAATTACCCCGAAGGAACGTGGCGGCGCTAATGAAAACCCTTTGATTGATAGTAAATAAACATTTGATGAACTCGATTCCTTATGAAATTCTCTTTCCAAATATCAAAATTCGATCACGAGAAAATTATTTTAAACAAAGTAATGGATTCGGACGGCTTTGTTAAGATAATACGTCAAGTCTGTCTTTTCCACGCAGATTAGAGGATCAGTTGTATCAGACCAGGATGAGTAAACTCTTCTAGGTGTCTGCCTTTCCCATACGGAAGAATAATTTTTCTGAAGGACCGGTAGTGTCAATCGAGCATCGCGAAGCCTTACTATGATCCTGAAAAAAAAGAAAAGAAAAAATTGTAAAATCTCCAAAATGAAAGCGACATAGTGCTGCTAAATAGTATGATGCCCTACTTCTCTATTGTATGACTGATCACAAACTTCTTTATGTATGTATGCGGAGTATTTGTTGTCGTGTTTGAATTGCTGTGCGTTAACGTCCTTTCAACTCGTGCATTTGGAATCGCTCTCATACATTCGTTAGCAAGTATCTCAATGTGGTGCTAATACACTCTTTCTCTCTTTTGACTTGGGAAAACCAAAGAATGCACAATCTGCTTCAGAGGGAAAATAGAACCACTAGAACCAAAGATTTCAAACAAGACATCACCAAATCCGTCAAAGCTTGCAGCAGATTCACAAGAACCTCATATAACTGAGTGAAAACTGATCACTTTATACAAATTCTGAACAGAGTGAATCAGAGATTGTACATGTACGAATGGTACAGAAAATAAACAGAGGACGACTACCAATAAATAAAATTTACAGTCAACTGCGAACAACCTAGTTGGAATATTGGAAAATCGGTGCATTAGAATAGAAAAGGAAATGTAGAGGAACTCAAAAAGAAAAAGGGAAACCGAGTGTAGGTGCGCAGTGACATAGAGAGTTGAAATGCGTACTTTACAAAAATCGGAATCAATTCGACGGAACTGGCGGAAGGTTCGGTTGAGTGACGGAAAGGCGACGTGGACGATCTGCTTCCTCCATTGAACTAAATTAGCAAAGTTTTATAAGTTTGGCAGAATAAACAAAGTTCCAAAGCTTGTATTTCCACTATTCAAAATAAGCAACGATCCCTGCCCATACGGAATTCTTGCCCCTGCTTTTCACTAATTGTTTACCTGCTAAGTGTCCGTTGTCGCTCCATTCCAGGAATAGCAACTCCAGATAAGACTCCACAACCTTTGCATAGCAAAATGAACGAACGGGCCATGTTGTCCGGCTGCAAAAAGTGTGTGTGGGTTTGAAATCAATGAAATTAAGCAATCAAGTATTGAGTACCGCTTCTTGCAAGACGTCGGCTACGTTGTCCACTACCAAAACTGTGGTTTTACGTCTATTCATGCTTTTCTGTGTAGTATAAACAGTGTTTTGATGAGGCGCTTTGGACCCGGACACAAGCAGAGTATCGACACTATAATACGAACATGTAGACTGAATTGAGTGACATCAGCGGCGTCTAAACAGATTTTGGCTCCAAGTTTTTCCTCATTGAGTCTTCTCGGTATGCTCAGTAATGCTTCAGGATATATGTCCAAGAAACTCCGTGATGGAGGAAAATGGACTTCTCTAACCCATTTTGTTCGTTCGCGGTAGAGACTGGTCGGAATCTGCTATCGCTAGCGTTATCCATAATTTTTTATCCCATCACAACCACAGGGCGAAGTGGTGGAACAAAAATGCTTCAACCCTACATTTCTGAGCCTCCCGTTTGCGAAGAAACCGTGCGAAAAGTCCAGTTCAAAAAGGCATTTTCCTCCAAAATGGACCTGAAAGCCCCTTTTTCTCCTAGCAGCAAGGTGAGCTGGCACCAAACCCATTTTCGACCTTTCTGCATGTTTTTAATTGCGGTTTTCTAAGAATGTGTTTCCTAGCCCATTTTAGAGTAATATATAAACGAAGAAGGTTTCATCCCTTTTATGAAGTCTAAAATGAGTGTTTCTTTCAAACACTTTCGAAACATTTCAAAAATCATGAAAGACGGTTAAATTAACCCATATATTCACTGACAAACTCAACTGCTTTCAAATAGTGGGTTACAGAAGCAATTGATAGATTGAAATGAGTCGCTTTCAAATAACTATCATAAAGCGCGAACCTTCTACTTACATATCCCATGTTTCATAACTTGAGATTTTGCATTTGAACCTCTAACCTGACAAATTGTGGCGATTTTTTCTTCACGATAATTCGATCCAGATAAGGGTGATGCAGAAAGTATCACTGCGATCAAATGCCATTGAGAGTCTCCGAGTAAAAAAAATGGAGGAATTTTTGCTCATCTTTATATTTTGAGTTAAGGCTTGAATTAATATATAAGTGAACATCATCGCTAAAGGAGAAAGAAGACCTAAAATGATGCATTTGTGATGACATCAAACTTTCGTAATCCCTTGAATTTTCTAACTCAAAAGAAAGCCCATTGGGCTGTAGTGTTTTACGAGGGATCATCTGAGATAAAAAGTCTATAGCATTTTGATTCAAATACTGCAGTGCAAAACTAGCAGAAATTTGCTTTCTGCAGAAAAGCTCTCATACAATTTTTTTTGCTTCAAAAAAAAGTTCATAGAAAGTCTTAGAAAGCAAAGGTTTGGATATTACTTCAACTTCAAGTGAAATTGGAAATATTTGAGTGAATGCCCAGTCATCGACAATAAATGGCATGTGAAATGTAAAGACATGGAAAAAATAGAATATCTAGAAGTCTGACATTGTATTTTTTGCTAGATATTGACTAGAATGGTGGGAATGAGTTTACTAGATTGACAAACAGGTTGAAGCAAGCTAAAGAAGGGTTTGCTAGAGCATTGTTGTTTGAAATGATTGATTTCGCGAATGCAAAATCTCACCGCACATGGACTGAGCCTCTTTTATTCGCGTTTCATTTGCGAAACTCCCATTTTTGAATGGACTTTAGTGGGTATCATTCCAGGTTTTGTAAAGATGTAAAAGATTCGCTCTCTTGAGAGTCATACTCGGAATGGGCGTGGCTGTTTGCCTACCCTCTGTAGAACGTGGGTGGGGTTGTAAGTGCCACCGCGGTTCTTATTGGACGATCAGCTCCATAGACCGATCGCTCTGTAGAGGAAGCACCACCATTCGTGCCAGGCAAAAAAGCCACTATTTTAAATCTCTATTTCTTCAATAGACGAGATTGAAACAAAGTTCCAGCCTCAACACACCGATAAAGTTCGGGATTAATGGAGAAATATGGAGTCAAAGGCCCTAGCTAGGCGTTCCTTATCTACGAAATTGACATACTTGTCGAGTTTGGTTCCAATAGATGCAGATAGGTCTGTTCTTTTGGTGAAGGAGAGTAGATACTTGCTCAGATTTCGCGGATTCAGCGTTTTCTTCAGTTCATCTACAAACATCTGCCTATCCTTTTTGTTGACCTGAACAAAGACCGATTCAAATCACAAAGAGATGCCAGCACTTGCAGGCAAGAGTTGATAGGTGAAGCGTAAGATATTGATAGGGTATGATCAAGATAACATGGAAGATAGGTGCAATAGCACGATTTGCTCTGCTACAACATGCAAGTGAAATCCTGCTGAATCTAAACAGTTAGCACTAGTTATTAGTGAGACAGAAGTAGTAGTAGACATGCAAGACAGAAAGAGAGAAGTGAGTGAAGAGGCAACCATGCAGCCTATTGCACTTGCACCAGCACCGTTAAATATACGAAAAGCGAAACTTACGTCTGCAGCCTGGACGTTGGCGTTAAAAAAAGAAATTAGTGGGCAACATATTCAATCCTATCATACCTTTAACTCTACTGTTATTCATAAGACATACGAAAATATGAGCGAATGGCGCTTTTTCGACTGTAAGAGCAGACAAGTACGTAAAAGGGTTTTTTGGGTAATAGAAGAAAAACTTACGGTTCCAAATTTATGTGTGACTAGGTACTCCCAAGCTCCATCGGTCATGATGTCATTTTCCAAACGCATGTTAATTACCTGCAGAGATCACGTATAAGTGCGTAATAATTTTCATGGGTTAAGGGCCGGTCATACTTCACGCGATTTCAGTCGCGACGCAATTTGGCAACATTCCAACTGTCCATGAATTACTGTAAGCATATTTCAAATGCACAGAAGATAGGGCATTTCATCAATCTACGTAATTTGTACAAACTATGCATGTGCAGTTTGCTAGTGTTGCATCTGAAGACTTCTGGCGAATTGCCAAATCGCGTCGCGACTGAAATCGCGTGATGTATGCCCGGCCCTTTAGGCTGCAGCCAGTCGCAGATGCTAGCGCCGTGCTAACGCTGTACCCAAGCGCCAAGCAATCAATACAGGCCTCGTTCACTTGGGCGCTGGCACGGTCGCAGCATGAAGCTGGTACAGGGCAGCTCTGGTCGCAGCCATAGAGGACATTACAATCTAAACGGATTCCGCTTGCGTGGACAACCATCAAATAACATGCATTTATGTACATGATAGCCTGTGCCAGTCCTCGCAGTCGGAATTCGTTGGTTGTATACTGATTTATCCTTTACCGCAACTTTTTCTTGCTCACCTTGTCCTTACAGTATTCTACTATTCCGGCAGTGGTCGAGGTGCAGTGTACGAGGATTGTTCCAAGGATTCGGTTCGGATTCGCCATCTAAGATGTGTAGATTAGCAATGGAGTTCAGGTTAAGATTTAAGAGTTTAAATCAACTTCACTTCAAAATTCGTTCTTTGTAAAGGTAAAATTTTCTGTCATATATTTGTAGAACCAACTCACCGCAAATCGACACAGAATGTTTGCTCCTGCTCCTTCGCCAAAGACGATGCATGACTGAAAACAGCTTTCTTTTATCAAAGCTATCCTCAAAGTCACTTCGTTCTACGGAAGTTACAAAATAGATACTGCTCAAAACTGACAACCAAATCGACTGGGAAATTCAAAGGCTAGTTATGGTATTCATAAAATCAGAAACCTTTGCTTCTGCTTCCAAATTGTGAAGAAATACAGGGTGTCCTTAAAAAACGTGCCTACTTTTTGCTTGTTAATAACTCCCTCGTAATGAAGTCTATCGAGAAGCTTTAAGTACCATTTTGTAGAGCTGACATTAACTTAGATTCATGGTATAAAGCGAATCAGCGTTCTTTCGTTACTGTAGGATTACGGTAGGAACTTTGAAGAGGGTTTTGCGTCATTAAGAGACTTTACTTCTAAAAAGGACTAAAGAAACTGAAAACTCATACACTAGGTTAATCAGCCGTCGCTGATTCCAGATATGAGACTCGCACTTCACCAATACCTTTTTCATAACTTACGTATAACATAAATATGTATTTCTGATATTCGTCGGAAATGAGATCAGCATGCATGGAAACGTTGTTACACAAATCTTCAGAATTGTAATATTTTTGAAAGGCCTATCTCACAGTGGCGCATATGCTGCGTTTCCTAGCATTTACAGTAAATGAAGGAAAATCGGTAATCGCTCCATACTGTAAATCTAAGTTGAAGCCAGCTCTACAAAATGGTATCTAATTCTTTCCTAAAGATTTCATGACAAGGTTTCTAATAGTCAAACAGTACTTAGATAATTAGATACTTAGATGGCCCGGCTTCACGTGTCGTAGTCAAACAGTAGGCACACTTTTGGAACACCCTGTATAACAGAGCTACTTTAGCGAATCAGTCGCAGCTTTAAAATTAAAACATCTACGAAATGCTCAGCAATGCAGTTAAGTCATTTACAAGTTTTTTATAGATGTCAATTTTATCTGTGTGTGGGTAAGAGAAGCATTATAAAAAAGTCCCTCCGTAAAGCGAAGCAGTGTGGTTTTTAGCCAATCTCTAGCGCAGGCTGTGGCTTACATAATTATGGAATGGTATATGAGCTTTGTTTCGTCAACTACCAAATTCTACTAAACGAACTCACATTGATCTCGAATTTGTCAAGCACAAGCACTAGATCCTCGGCGATTTGATCCAATGTGGGAAAGCTAAAAGAAAAACATTGTTCATCGATAAATCTTTGCCCTGTTGACCCAGGACTCAATGTGAAACTCAATTTTTGAATTTTTCGCCTTCAGTTCTTGCATCTTTTAGAATAAGTTCAAATAACATACTCTCCAACAAAATCCGCCGCGTTGTCTTCTTGTCCGGGAACGCATATATGAAGGAAGACAGATTTGTTTTTTACATCGGCCATTGACGGGTGATTTACAAATCGCACGAATGTTTTGTCTAGAATTGATGTGGTTGAATAATGCGATGCGATGTTGGGCAATGTAAACAATATTTGAGCTAACATTTTTGCAGCGTTTTTTGATGAGCTTTGTATACGTTTGTTTACATAAATTTCCAAACATTCTCGGCAAAATGCAACCATGGTCTTCAAAAGCTTTTAGTTAATAACTTCCCGACTAGCTAAAGAAACCAATTTTATGGATGTCTACCCCGCGCAGGGACTTTACAAATTTTCCGTGAATTCTTCCTAAGTTTATTCAAGATATGGAATTGCCCTCGAGGGTTTTTTTACTTAAAGTGAAGGTTGGTCAAGACCGCATTCGATGCGGATTTTCTTTCTTTTCCTAACAGCTGTGTTGAACTTCTCTGTGGAATAAAAGCAAACGTATCTAACATGATGTTTCTTACGCTCAAGTTCACTCGGTTTCTGAGGGATCTCATTTCACTCGATCGGCGAAGGTAAGGCAGCACTCGTTCTAATATACTATCAGGTTGTCCCATAAGCTCCGTCCGTTTTAGATCTCAACCGCAGTAAGACATACACTTCTCATTTTTGAATTAGTTACAAAATACCATTTCATAGAGTAAAGCAAACTCTACAAAATGGCGTTCTTGTTTGGTCACCAGCTTTGATACACCTCAATTTTCAAGCCAGAAACTGGAAAGATTCAACTGCCCGAAATATAGAGATTCTAACTTGCTCACATATACAATATCTACGTAAACACTTGTATACGCCATCCCCGCATTTTTTTCTCTATCAGAGGTCAAAAAAACAAGGATTTTTACGCTTTTGCCAAAGTGATGCTGTGCGGTCCCGACATGGGTTATTGTATACTACTAGCCTGTGAAAGTAAACACAAATTTCCAGCTCTCCACAAGCTCTTGTTTTCGAGAAATATGGATTTTACCGTAGCACTCGTTCTAATATATATGCTGTATATATATACAGGGTGTCCCAAAAAAAATGTGCCTACTGTTTGATTGGAAATAACTTCCTTGTAATAAAGTGTTTCGAGAAATTTTCGGTACCGTTTTGTAGAGCGAGGTTAAACTTAGATTCACAGCACAGAGCGAATCATCGATCGCTCTTCATTACTGTAGGATTACGGTAAGAACTTCCAGCATATGGAAACATGTGAAATATACCACCTAAAAATTTTTTTTTCAAAAAAATCTGAAAAATCGTGTATTAGGGTTTTCGTGCATGCTGATTCCAACTAGCAACTTTTTACAAGTGTTTTCAGCTTTTTTGATGGTGTAATCGCATTTCTGACAAACGCTGGGAACTGAGTTATTACGATTTACCGGGGATAACTTTGGAAAGAAGCATCACAGTAGAATGGGAATTTCAAATTCGAAACCAGCGGCTCCCATTACCGTAGTGTAGGAGTTTCTGGCTTGTTCGGTTCTGATTCGAGGCAGAATATAGCCTCCAATGGCCTAAAATCCTTGTCGAAGTTCGTACCGTAATCCTACAGTAATGAAGAGCGAGAGATGATTCTCTCCATACTGTAAATCTAAGTTCAACCTCGCCCTACAAAACGGTACCTAAAGCTTCTCAAAACACTTCGTGACAAGAGAGTTATTTACAATCAAACAGTAGGCACATTTTTTTGGGACACCCTGTATATATATATATATATATATATATATATATATATATATGCTGTCCCCACCTTAGGGAAGCTACATTCGTATTTCTCGGAAACTAGAGCTCGTAGAGAGTTGGTGTATTTGTACTTCTACACGCCATTAGTATACAATTACTTATGTGGGGACAGCACAGCATCACTTTGGTAGAAGCATGAAAATCTTCGTTTTTTGATTTCAGATGAGAACAAAATATGAAAATGGCGTACATAGACGTCTTATGTGGATAGTGTATATGTGAGCAAGTTGGAAATTTTGTACGAGTTTTTGGAAGTTACGATTTTTTCTCAATTTTTTGGGCAGTTGAATCTTTTTAGAATTTGGCTTGAAACTCGAAATGTATCAAAGCTGTTGCAGAAGCAAGATCGCCATTGTGTAGAGCTTGCTTTGCTCTATTGAACGGTACCTTGCAACCTGTTTAAAAATGAGTAAGTATGACTTAATGCGATTGAAATTCAAAACGGACGGAACTTACGGGCAACCCGATACCTTTTTCTCTCGAAAGCGTCCACATAGTCTCAAGTTTGGCGAAACTGTTTGATTTTGTCGTGGTAGTCAAAGCTTGATTGCTATAACTCTCTCTTATATAATCCTTGAAAACTTTTCTCGTCCAAAAATAAGCTTCCGAGGCTCTCATGTGCTAAGCTATGACTAAAAAAGTTATCAATAAACCGAAACTGTAAAGCAGAATTTGCTCTGCCTCCACTGTTTCAACGCAGCTTCAAGAATTAGCAACTCGTGAGGGAACGTATAGAAAACAAGTTTTACTATCTTTTACTACACTGTTCAAAGATATTGCTAGGAAGGAATAGTTTCTAAGGAAAGGATGAACAACGAAACACATGCAGCTCCGATCGTTTATTCTGCATTTCCGTGAGCTTGGGGTGCTCATCAAAGAGGAAAAACCTTAGGAATGATCTAATAGCAGTTGCTCGACAAATCAGGTGCGAAAGCCATATAGCTCTTTCTGCTAGCTCCACTTTTTTGACAGATATCATGTCAAACTTTCGTCAATACAAACGCTACTACCAGAGCATTTGTTAAATGTTTCTGGAGTTACACCAAAGCCTAGTGAAACTTACAATTTGTTCCAACATCGTGACATGTGAGAATGAATGTTTTGCCATTGCGATCCTCCAGATTTCCTTGTACATAAACATGCAGCACGCCGCAGTTATTCGTCTGTACATCGACCATCTAAAAAAATTAACTTTGAGTGTTTCTGCGTGCCGACAGCAATTGCTCATAAAATCTGGGCTTTGGGAGCAAAATTCGCAAATGTGCGCTTCTTGACATTTTTCACGCGCATGTGTTGTCGACACTGCAGGTGCACAACATTTTTTTCTAGCTTAATCAATCCTTTCTTGTATGGTCATTAATCCTGTAGAGTAGTACACCCGCGATCTTGCATTTTATCGGAAGCACGCTTCTGGATGCGATAACAAGGTCGTTACGGCTGATAATGACCATAAAAACTTGCTGGAATGTAATAACATCGTATAAATCACCTGTAGTTCATCAGTCATTTTGTTGTGAGGTTGTTATGAGGTCTGAAACGAATAAACATCACATTTCGAGGTGATAAGGAGAGGTGCGAAAGTTTAAATGCACGTGACTGTTTCCAACGATCAAGGAAGAGGACAGATAATGCACATTTTTTCAACAAAGTGCTTGAGTGTGCATTTCAGTATCAACATTTCAAGAATGTGTGCGCTCTTTAAAGTGCTAGTGAAGCAAAAGTTGCAGGGAGAAACAAAAAGTAATTATTACTTGTAGATCAACAACTATCATGATAAGATAAAAGAGATCCGGTAAAGATTAAGCGTGCGGAAGTCGGTCATAAGGCGCGAACTGGTCCCCTAGAAAGGCATACAAAGTTGCCATTAACTTGCTATAGGTTAACTGTTTTTTACCGAAAATCTGAGGCAAACCTGAAAACTTGGCTATTAAAGTGGTTTTTTAAAGGTATTTCGACCTGTTATTACAGTTTTGAACTGATTTTGTTTCTGTGAATCTTGTCTACACGAGTTTCTACTTGAAGCAAAATGCATAGATACACACTTTCAACAAAAAATATCTAGTTGCTCAAAACTTGCCTTCAGTTCTGAATGCCGAACTGTTCACAATTAAATTTTGTAGAAAAACATGACTTTCGAAGAATCTAACCCCACTTGCTTTCCAAGAAATCAGTAAAATTTTACGGATTTATCCATATAAGCATTAAGGTTGTGATTCGCGCTCTCATGAATGAAAGTTATGAAAGAAAAAAGTCTTGCTTTATTTGTACTTAAGCCAGATATGGAAAGGAAACAAACTGGTGAATTTGATGATGATAGCTCATGCAGTATGACTGAAAAAGTTTCACCGGGGGAGGGGGTATAAGAGGAAAATACAAGAAAGATATCGAGGAAGAAGAAGGGAAACTTGCGTAGAAGATGAATGAATGTGAGCGTAACGCAGGTCCGACAAAAAGAAGAGTACAACGTAGTTTTCGCTCCAGACAGCATATAGCGGTCCCAAGAGACGAAAAACGTCGAAGATTGCGACTAATAGCGGCTGAGTAAAAGCTTCTTTACTAGTGGCAGTGGCCTGGTCTGCCAGCTAGAGAGAGCATCGTTTCTGGATTCGGTTAAATACCATCAGCAGCGGCAATCACGAGCTATTTACTGTGTGCCTCGTCGCGAGCCTACGTGCCCCAGCTTATTGCTCTACAAACACGCTTTCCAGCCAAAACAAGCACATTTGCTAAATCGCAATCATCGCTAGGTCAAAGCATGACTAGGAAGTCAGGAGATAGGAAAGTTACTGAATGTCTACGGAACGCAACTGATCTTGTGATTCTACCTAAGCTGAGCTCAAAGGGGTGAGTCAAAAGGCATGAAAATCTTGGTTTTTTGTTCTTTTCAGACTCCACGTAAATAGAGTAGAACAGGTTAATCTAGAGAGCCTCAGGCGCTATTTTTCTTAGCCTTTTCAGCAGTTATGCCACCGATAGAGATAATCTTCTACAATTTGATCCCATCATTTTTGCCTTGTATAAATTTGACTAGTTTGCAGAGTTTTAATGTAAGAGTTTTCGGAGAAGAACAGCAGATTTTCTCTTGATCCTTTTTACTGGCCTACAAGAATTTTTCAAGCAACTTTCAAAATCCCCTTTTTTCAAAAAACTAATGAATTTGGTATTTGAAAAATGTGAAACTCGATTACAATCAAATATTTTTGTTGTGTTGTTTTGTGCAATGCTTTTCGAATGTAAAAGAGCGCCCACTGCCTCAGAAAGTCGTAATATAAAGATTATGAGCACAATTATGCACCTTTGAAAATGAGAGTTAAAACATTAGGTAAAAACTCTTTAGCAGTCAGGGACGATACCGAAATAACTGCTAGAAAGAGGAAAATCTGGTGTAATTTTAATGCTGGTATGGTTTATCGTCATATCTGAGTTGATAAAAAGTATCACTTTTGACTCATCCTGGTACTCGAATTCTGCTCTATCCTGTGCTGGTCTACAAACTGTTGAAATAGCTAACCACTTGGTTTTGAGTATGCAAAAAAATTTCTGGGAGACTTATCAAGATATTGAAGGTAATCTTTCCTTGCATAACTTCAGTTTTATGAAATCTTAAAGACGGCCAAATATTCTCATCTTCACTGAGCACAAAGAAGAATGAACACCTCACCTACGATGATGCAATTTCAGAACATAGAGCAAGCTTAAAACTCAAATGGTACGCGTCTAACCGAAGCGACGATGGCAAAACCTGTTTAAGAACAGCTGAGGAAATGAGGTTCTGAAAGCTTTGAATATGCCTGATGCAGCAGAAAGAGCAGAAAGTAACGAAAAAAAGCAAAATGCAGCTTTTCATTAGCATCATTACCGCATAAATTTCTAATGATATGTCAATTCTGTTCTTGTTTATGCTGATAGGCCGTGACGGACTAGCTAAAATTGACAGCAATGCATAAATTCTAATTTAGGGATGACGCGGGTTGAGAACATGATAGAGACGAAAATAGCCGGGGATGGAGAAGGTCGAAATTTTCCATCAGTGGCGAGTGGTCATTTGGAAAAGAAACTTGCTATTAGAACTGCGAGAATAAGAGGTTGAAAGAGTACTATTTGGACTGGCAAAGCCTGACGTAATGTCTTGCGAGGCGTTGAATGAAATATCGCTGATTTCGCATGTAATCGAGACATCCAGCACGGAACGGATGAGTAGAAGCCAATTCTCAGTGTGCCGTAATCGATATATTTTCGCTATCTTGTGAGGTGCGGCTCAATTCGTTGCCCCCGCTGTAAACACTAATAAAATGGGGTGGATTTCGATGAAAAAAGAGCTAGCACGGTTTAAGCTTTAGAATCATTGTTTTGGACGTAGAGAGATAGACTTGATGGTTTCGAATTGTTTTGGCCATCAGAAAAAAGAATAAAAGAAGAGGAATTCACTTGACTCGTGTTCAAACAATCAAATTTGTTTTTGAGATTGTTAGTTTTGGCTGACGTTGCGGCAATATTTGGCTTTTCGAGAATGAAAATTATGAAATTTCGTTATTACTTTATAGCCGAGATTCAAGGACAGCCTAACAAAGAGACTCATAGGAATGAATCTTGTGTAATTCAGAATGTTTATCGTCACTTTTTTATGCAATTCTGGCTCTACAGTCGCTTCAGACAAACTTCTAATAATCTCATTTAGCTAAAGCATAATCCGTTACTGTTTTTGCCCTTGCTTTTTTTACAGCTAACCAAACCCTCAACGGCCTCTTTTGTTCAAAACTCAATTGAGGTGACTATTTATGTGATAGCACTTTGTAGCCCATCTAGCCAAAACAAAGTGATTAAATCACTGATAAAAGGTTATTAATGCTCCCTTGAGGGTTTACCAACACGCACTGGTATATTCTTGGTAACTCCACTAAGCTGGGAGAGAAAAGTCAATCTTCGATGTACAAACTGCTCCTTCAGAAATACTTTAGTATGCGAAACCAATGCACAAATATTCTCGAAGAATTTTTTTGCTTATTGCTTTCTTTTGGCATGAAATCACCAAATCCAAAAAACAGCTTTGTTTGCACAAAACACAATTTCTGCATGTGATGAAGCCTGAAATGGTCACATGGCTGGGAAAGCTTATTTGCAGACTTGATAAGTGTGTCCCGCACTCATTAAAGAAGAAAATGACAAGCCCTATTTAGGGAGAGCAGAAAAAGCATAGGATCATTGGGGGTTTAACAGTTGTCTTTCATGATGTTCATCATTTGTTTGCTGCAGTTATGTATGTTAAATATCAGTGATCAATGACTGCGAAGAAAAGTGCTCAAAAACTACTAGTTAAGCGCAAAAGAACTGCAGGAAGAGTATTTGTTTTGCAGAGAGATTAAAGTACAAATCATGGCGCTGCTAGGCACGGAGCCATGGCAAGCACTGCAGCTTCAAGTACGGAGAGGAAAACAAGTTCGCAAAAAGCCAGCTGCACCTAAGACTCCCGAATTAGGCAGACGCAGAGAGGGCTGGTGATTCCAAAGAGAAATGCACTTTCCATTTGATCGTTTAAGTAGAATGGATAATTAAGCGCTGAGGAAAAAAGGGACTCAAGTGAAGATAACGAAGTGATCCACAAGTGGTTTCAAGTTATGGATGTTTAAGAAGAGAGTAAAAGTGTTCAAAGCTAAGCTGCTTGTTTATACCAAAAAAAGTTCCAATTCAGAATCATATCAAAGCTTTTACGAAATGTGAGAAAATATTTTCTACACAACGAATAATTACAACTACCCACCTATACCTGATTGGTCAACCACTCAACTACACATCAACCTTACAATTACATAATTTTCAGGCAAAAACTTGGCAATATCGAATTGGAGGCTTTACAGATTTTTAATGCAGAAATTTTCCTTTTGGCCAGTGGTTTTCCAAAACATGAGTACGAAAAGCTGCGAAAATGGTTTTGAGCAAAGGTATTCAATTCAGTTTAGGAGTGTTCTTAAGACTTAAGCGCAGTCCAAAAGTAGCTTTATAACCGATACGGGTTTTTCCCGTTGCTTCTCACTTGTTTTCATAATTTGTATGTTGTGTTTTTTCGATTTGTCATTCTACTTGTTTATTGCTGCGTTTGAGGTAGGCTGACCCTATGAAATGAAACGAAATTATTCAGGTCCAGGTAATCATGCGCCGCGACCCGTTTCCTTTTTCAGACGAGTTAGGGGCTTCGTAGTTCTTTCAATATTTGGAGTTTGTTTTTAGGATGTTATAACACATAAAGTAATGTACCAACTGAAACATAAAGTAGGAAAAAGTCTGTTGTAACACCTTCAGCTGTTCAGAAATTACGTGACATTAAAAGAACCAGAATAACTTCAAAGTGCAAGAAAACTTCCTGATTCTCAAAATAACAACTCCGAATGGAGAAAAAAGTTGAGAGATGCGCACAAGCAGCTCAGCTGACAAATGCTTCTTTTGCATTCACTGCTGGCAAAGCTTCAAACGCTCTCTGGCTACGCAAACACACACACACCACGCACCACACATACACACATCCATAACCCCGTAATGACGT